GGCGTGGGAGGGATTGCCAATGAAATTTCCATTGATTTATGTTGCTCAGTGAGAAGGCTTTTTCTTCACCTTCTGAGGTGTGAAGTGCCGGAGAGTTGCTGTGGGTCTATTATTCTAGACCAGGCAGTGGCCTTGTTAAAAAAAAAAATCATAATCAGTCGTGTATTTTCCAGCACGGTTAAGGTTTAGTTGTGTGTTACATGACATTTTTTAAGAAACATAACCTGCTCAGACTTCTGAGCAGAGGGGAGCTGGTCTCCAGCCTCAGCTTCACGATGGAGCTGAAGCAGTGAACACCTTGTCAGGAAGTGTAAAGGCACTCAAACCCTTGATGAACATAATCCAAGTCATTTTATAGTTCCTTTTTCCTCAGTTCCGCACCACATGGGTTATTTATTCTTTGGGTTCCATTTCTTAGCCTGAGACTCAGGGTAGTGTTGTAAATCTCAAGTGGAATAAACGTATATGCCGTGGAAGCAAATTTTTATCTAGAAAAGGATATTTGCCGTCTGCCATAGGTTTGGTCCAAAAGACGTTTAAGCTTTTAGCCTAAAGAAGGTAAGTGGACAACTTTGCAAACATGTAATTTAGTTTGTGGTTGTCCGACAGGGTTGAGATACAGGGCACGTGCAGTGGTTAGCATTGCTGCTTCAGAGTGCTGGGGCCCTGGGTTCAGTCCCACACCTGGAGTGCTATTCAGGTGGAATTTGTACGTTCTTCCCAGGTTTGTTCGGGTTTCTCCTGGATTTTCCGGTTTACTCCCACAATCCAAAGACGTACTGGTAGGTTAATTGGCTTCCGGTACAATTGGCCCCTGGTGTCACTGTGTCCGTGTGCCCTGCGATGGACTGGCGTCCTGTCCAGGGTGTATCCTGCCTTGTGCCCATTTGCTTGCCGGGATAGGCTCCAGCTCCCCTGCGACCCTGAATTGGAAGAAGCAGTTAGGAAATAAATGGAGGCATTGAAACGCACTGTGTCGATGCACAGCAGAAACACAATACAGGGTATTAGAGGTATTGAGCTAGCTTGTTCTCACCCTGCTAACTCGAATTTCACAGGGAGCACGTCTCATCCACAGCAGCTGTAAATTAAGGGATCAGACTGTGTTGTGTACATGTCTCATGGACGATATAAGAGAGATTACTAGTGGTCTGCCCTCGCAGGATTGCTTTGTCGGGCGGGCTCGTTGCGTGCCGATTTGTTAAAAAAGGGTCCGAAATGTAGTTTCTTATTAATCCTGCGCAACCATCAATTTTGCATCTCCACAACAACATGGTCTGCTTGTCAGGTTATCCTGGGTTTTATTTTGTCATCGGGAGTTTAGGCTGTTAAGATAGTGGATTCCTTGGTTTGGCAGCGGGTCGCTGCAGTTAGCGGTGTTGGGGCCAAACACGTGTTTGACTTCAGGAAAGACTGGAGCATCGGAAGTGCCATTCATTCAGCTGGCGGGTCGCTCAGGGTGGCTCTTGATGCGACCAGAGCTGGGGCGCTGTGACACTAGTGACAGACATGTCAGACTCCTCCATGCTTGGAGGCAGACGTGTTAAAAGAAGCAGAAATGACCCCACCTCCCTTTGTTCCCGAGGAATGTGCTCGGCGGGCAGACGCCGAAGGCGCCGATGAGGTCAGAGTTGTGAAGAGGGGGCAGCCTGGCCTCTGTAGGAAGGAATCGAGGAGGTGTGAGGCAGGCAGTGCGTGCGTGTCTGCACGTGGTTATTTTAAAGCCTTTTGGTCTTGTTTTCGTCAGGAATTCTGTCCCTAAGTCATGGCAGACAGGAGGCCAGAGAAGTCATGTGAAGACGCGTGTGCATCGTTGGGCAGGCGGGAGTACGAGGCGGCGGTGAAGCACTGCACGGAGGCGCTCCTCGCCCTAAGCCTGCGGCCCCGCAGCCCGCCTACACATGGCCTCCTGCGCAGCAAGGCCCTGCTGTTCAGGATAGCAGCTCTTCTGCAGCTGGTGAGTACGCACTGGCCTTCGGCGCAGGCCTGCCTGGACACACAGAGGGGCACTGCCCTGCAACACAGCCCTGCCTGGACACACAGAGGGGCTGCCTGGGCACACAGAGGGGCACTGCCCTGCAGCACAGGCCTGCCTGGACACACAGAGGGGCACTGCCCTGCGGCACAGGCCTGCCTGGACACACAGAGGGGCACTGCCCTGCAGCACAGGCCTGCCTGGACACACAGAGGGGCGCTGGCCTTCGGCACAGGCTACAGGCTATTAGCACACACAGGGGCAATGCCTTTTGGCATGTGCTTTGTGTACACACAGGGGCACTGCTTGCCAGCACAGGCTACAAGGACATACAGGGGAACAGCCTGCCAGCACACAGTGGTGCCCATCAAAGTCATGTTTGTGTTTATAGTGGAACTTGTGTGCTTAAATGGAACAGTTGAAAATGTGAGATTTCTTAAGAAACCAGGCTGCTGGTATTCATTGTTCATCCGAATTAAGATAGGCGGCCCTAAATAAGCAATTATGTAGTAAATTGTGTCATTATAGAGGGTATAATGGTTGATTAATATTGATCTATCCACCCCCGCTCCATCCTCCTCCATGTATAATGAATGGCCTCTTCACGTTATGATTTGTAGCCACAAATTAGTTTTAGCTGCCATTATGCATTATCTCACTTTCCTTCAGTCTTTCACATTTTCTGGGTTTCTCTGCTGTTTTGCCCAGATAGCTTTCAGTGCTGCTTGACAGCCTGCCAGCCTTGACAATCCTCATAACTCCTGTGGGCTGGGGTTGAGCCAGCAGCACAAGGGAACCTCACACTGCTGCCGGTCTCCACACCTTGCTAATCGGCAGCCTCACGTGCAAACAGCTCTGTGCAAAGTGTGGGATGTGCTGGATTAAGTGCTGTTGGAATATTCACCTTTTATATGACCTTTTGCTGACACTTAATACGAATAGTGTGGAGCTGGAATAGTAATGCAGTGTTCTTTGTTTCTGCTCCGATGCCAACAGAAGAACTACGATCAAGCAGATGAAGACTGCAAGCATGGTAAGTCCCTAACATTCATTCGCTAGAATGCAGGAACGGCTGGTTCACATGGCTGTTGTTAAAAAGACCGGAGCAGCAGGACTGGGGTGGAATTTGTTGAGACATGGTTGTAAAATGCATAAGAATGTAATGTAGTGCTAACACTATTCATTTACTTCAGTAAGCAGCTTTCTAAAGATATTTGTCACTTTCACCCTAAGTTCAGGTTTCTCCGCTGTTAATTGTAGCGGGCCTTCCTGGTGTTGGGTGATGATCGTTCTTGCTTTCCTCCGAAATGTATTGACGGAGGGCCCGTGCTGCTGGATTTTGGGTGGACTTCCTCTCTGGTACGCTGGAATGGCAGCATGGGATGGTGCCATCATGAGACATTGGATATATTCCCCACTTTGCTTTCTGAAATTGTTTCAGTGGCATCTGTAACGTTAGTGTGCTGTTTCTGCAAGGGTGCAAGGCGCTTTAAAGAGCACGGGCCTGGCCACTGGAAACAGGAAGTTGTCTCTTCTCAAAGACACTCGTCCTGCGTGCAGATTGCCCATTACAAGCAGTAGCAAATAAGACAGGAGTGTTCGACCTGAAGAGAGGGAGCCACAGTATGATTGCGAGATGAACTTTCAGTTTACCGTTTACTTTTAATTGAGGCTTTTCCCCCACTGGCTCAGCCTGTAAAGATGCTCTCCTGAGTGCAGGCTGAGCTCGGTGGCCACGGGTTCAAGTCTGGCTGAGCAGCAGTGTGCAGTTAGTTGGCCTGGGCCCTCAGTGACACAATCACGTTCGTGGTTCTGACACAGGATCTTCTCTAAGATCTCCTCCACCTAGTTTAGTTTGGTTCTGTCATAATCCCACATGTGGCAGTTCTGCGTCATCGGCTCCTCAGCCAAGCGCAGACGCCAAATATCTGAACCTGCGGTTCTTCTCGTACTGAATAGGATCCCTCCTGTAGCAGCACTTCGCCAGTAGGGTAAAACTCACCTGTCTGGCAACTGTCTACTCCCTGCTCGCATTCCCTGTTAGTGGGTGAACGATCCAGTGCCTGGTGGATTCTGCTTCAAAATGATCTGTGTAACAACTGATCCATCCATCCATCAGTCCATCCATCCATCCGTTTTCTAACCGCTTGATCTAATTCAGGGTAATGGGGGAGCTGGAGGCTTTCCCAGCAAGAGCCAGGCGCTGGGCAGGGTCAATACAAGCCTTTCCTTGCACTTGTGCCTGTGACAAACTGAACTGGGCCTCCCAGAAGCCATTTAACCTGCCAGTATGTCTGGAGCACCCGGGGGAGACCTGAGCAAACATGCAAACTCCACACAGACAGCACCCCAGGGCCCCAGCGCTGCATTAGCAACGCTGACCAATGTGCCCCCATGTCACCCCGGTGTAACGAGTATAACTGCGGTCAGGGGTTTGTTGAGCTGAAGGCCTTGCTGCTTTGCTGTTGCAGTGCTGGCTGAGGGGCTGGCGAAGGGAGGCAGCTCGTTCCAGGGCGTGCTTCGCTGCCTGCTCGCCGAGGGAAGCCTGCAGGAGGTGTCTGGCGTCCTGAACAAGTCGCTGTTCGGGGAACCGCTGGTAAATCCCGCCGTTTTTCCACGAATACTCGGGGAAGGTTGAAGTCCCTGCTCTGTGTCCTCGGCGTGCAAGGCTGTGCCGTAGGTACCTGTGTGATACGAGCCCGCAGCCACAGCGAGGCGGCGTGTTGTCATCGTTGCGTGGATGAGCACGCCTGCCGCCGCCGCCGCCGCCTTGCCATGGAACATGTTTTTACACTAATTAAGGCTTTGCACTGAAGCCTTTCTAAAGAGTGTTGACGATGAGTACTTAATGCCGAAAAAACATCCTGTTGTCGAGAGAACAGCAGCACCTGGGGCTCAGGGCTTTGTTAGGCAACAAAGAGAAAACATAACGTTTAGCTTTTAAAACTATTTTTTTTTCTGTCCTTCTAGAAGAAAAGCTTGAATCCTTTCTTGAAGTGTTTGTAGTGAACATGAATTAGACTTTGAAACTAGGTGTAGTTGCGGATTGTGTAATATAGTATTCAGAGTGCTGGTGTGAAACCACAGCAGTGCGTTTTGCAGGACTGTATTGTATGGACATGAATTAGTTGCCGTCAGTCCTCAAAAGCTACTCAGTTACTTCATTAATGATTAATTGAGTTAAATGCAGTGAGTAGTAATTGTAAACAACTAATGGGACAAAACGGATTGAATGTACGTAAGGGAATGAATGTCTGTAGATATTATATGTGAAGTGTGTGTAGGTTTTGCTGATTAAATAGGAGCTGGGCGATGCATTAATGGAAACCAAACTGACACTCTGCTCTTGAGCGTGTCCTTATGTAAAGACTTCCTGTGCATGTGGTAGTATCCAAATCTTTTGTGATAGGGAGTTAACTTGGGCAAAGGATTCTCATCCCCGCGCTCTGTGGTTTCAATTTAAATGCATAGAGAGATCAAGCAGTGGTGAGTCAACCCTCTGCATGTCAAAATGAGGGAAAGGGGAAATGAAGAGTTTTTGCTTTTTCTTGTACTGTATATTGGTTTCTGCAAAAGTTCAGTGTGTGCTGCATGTCTCTTAAACATATCTCTTCACTTTAGAATGGGATGGTGACGAAGGATTTGACCAGATTGAAAATGCTTCTCTCCGAGATGGAAGTAAGCGTGCTTGTTGAGTATGGTTCTGGGAAATTACCAAGTTGCATTTGGAAATACCAATGCAAGTCTCAGAATGAACATGTGTATGCTGGAAAATGTTTTTAGATCAGCGGTTTCCTGGTGTTGTACAGGATTATAGACAGTCTTGGCACCAGTCATGTGCAACATTCATGATGAAAAAGTTATTTTGGGAAGTCCTCAGGTTTTACGATTCCTTTTATATTTTAATCAAATGAGTCATTTTGTGCTTAAGCGGGGGATGGAAATAAGAGTCCAACTGCAGAGCAGTTTTGAGTCATTTCAGATTTTACCGTCTGTGGGCTTTTGTCTGTAATGTAAGTCAACACCAGGTCCTGGATCCTTCATGATTATTACATTACAAAGGAAACATCTTGCTTTACTTTGACCTGAACAGTTTTAAGCTTTAAAATGGGAATTTATTTCCTCAAAACATCAAAATGGATCAAGCCTCTGTTCAGTGGGAAATTGTCATCACTGCATAGAGCTCCGGCTGCTATTACTGCGCAGACTGTGTAGCGCTATTTGATTTTGTGAAAAACCTGCTAATGCATCTGCAGACAGGGGCTGTCTGAAATCTTGTAATTATCCCCACTTGCAGCCAGTTTCTCCGGTTTAAGAGAGCCCTTCGCACAAAAAAATAGCAGTACTAGTCTGAAGATTTCCTTTCATGAAGTGGGGATTCACTCAAAAAAAACTCAATTTCTTGTATGCCTTCATGCAGTATTATTGCACCTCGTTGCAATTGTCTAACACTGGCTGTTTGATGCGCTTAACAGACAGTAAGTAGACTGATGGCCTCGGAGTGCACAGAAGACAATGAGGAAGGTAAGCACATGGCTCTTCTGCAGAAAGAAATCAAAACCAAACTGTTCCCTTTCAGATGTCCGCTGTTACCTATTATAGGTCTGACCCCTGTTTGATTGCTTCTTTTCTGTCTGCCCTCTTACCTGGGTGCATTTATGTATTTGATTTAAAGCACTATGTCGAGAAGGAGTTCAGGCCTGAAAGTAAGACCCCGTGTCCTTTTCGAGTCATTGTTCACGGCCAGCGCAGACTGCCCAGGCTGCAGTTTGCCTGTTGTTAGAGTGCCTGTGTCAGGGGCCACACGTTACACCTGTGCTCTGGTTTCTCTCTGCAGACGAGCAGGATGGGTGGCATTTTCGGCCTCCTCCCCGGGGGGTGACCAGCAGCGAGGAGTACACGCTGTGCAAAAGGTAATGTGGCCGGCCAGGTGCTCTCAGACGCACGCTCAGATAATGCAAGAGTCCGCGCGTTGGTCTGTGAGCTGGAGTTGAGGTCAGCGGTTTGTCTGTTGTCGCATAAAAGTTTGGGGCATGACACCTGACTTGTCTTAAAACTTGTACGAAAGTAGTTTCTTGCAGCAGCTGAATCCTAGCACGACCCACTGCTCAGCTCAGGCGGTTTGGATGGTTATATACTCTATTACCCCAGCGGTGTTCCTCTTGAGAGCAGCGTGCAGGCACACCTCCATGCCGATTGTGTTTACTGATGGCTTTCTAAAAGGCTGGCCGAACCGTGCCGTTGGCGTGTGCCGGGGGTGTGTTGAAGTTCAGAAGGGGAAAAACTGGAAGATGCGCAGGTGTTTTCTTGTGCTCTGGCAGTGTCTTGTGCTGATCAGGTTACTGCAGGTATGATAAAATGTGTTGTGTAGTATCTGTAAGTCCTTATGAAAAGCTGTGGTTCTCCCCCGTGTAGGTTTTTAGAGCAGAGGATTTGCAGATATGGTGCTCAGTGCACCTCGGCGCATTCGCAGGAGGAGCTGACCGAGTGGCAGAAGAGATACGCTTCCAGGCTGATCCGGCTGAAGCAGCAGCAGCAGGAAGGCAAGCAGCTCACTGGGAATTACATGGAGGCCCTCATTGAGAAATGGATGAACTCTTTGTCTCCGGAGAAAGTGGTACGGCTTGCTTCTCTCACGCGGCGAGCGCACCAGAGCATAAAACTGTGGATTAACACCAGGGCCGCAAGAAAAAACGCTCGGGCTCCCTGTTCTTCCCGACAGCCGGATCACATGAAGGATTTTCCCATTCTGCCTTCTCCCCTGCCCCCCAAAGCCATAAGCAAAAGTAACCCTCCCACTGCTGTTGCAGCTTTGCAGATTGTTCAGGTTAGATCAGGTGAAATTCACGACATGGCCCCTCTTAAGGCAGGGAATGCAGCGGCAGTGTCGTTCCCGGGGCTCAGAAATCGGACCGATTTAACCGCAGTGGTGCTCCGCTGAGGATGAGATGCTGCGTAGTTTTGCGAGTCAAAGCAGGATAGTGACTCCCAAGCCCTTTCATGACGAGGCTAGAGTGCCCAGTTGCTGTGACATGGACTGGGCGGCCAGTAGTCTCACAGGCAGGCTGATTCGGGGCCACGTCTGGCCAGTCCTGGTCCTGGGAGGCCGGACGCTCTGCTGGTTGTCTGGGTCTTTTTAATGCGGAGGCACCTGAAGAGCTGGGCGAAGCTGGCAAATTGGTCCGGATGAGACAGCAGCGTAATGGAGGTTGAATTTAATAAGAGCCGAGTTGGAATGAAACTCCTGGGCTCCAGTCCCGGAGGTGGGCAGCATCCATCTAGCCTGTGCTGCTTTCACACCGGCCAGGGAGGGGGAGGACGAAGGCTCCCGCTTCAGGGGCAATTCTGTTAAAATATATGAAATATAGTAGTACAGTAGTTTATTGCCGTACATTGGAATTTGTAAATACGCTCATCTCTCGGGACATGCACAGTACAACCGATAAAACCACACAATGTTGGCAGTACATTACAAACATAATAAATAATAACAACAGGAACAATAAATATGTTGTGGGACAATAAATATGTAGTAGTGAGAAAAAAACACCCATGGTAGACCATGCAAAAAGTGCATAGTGCAGGTGTGTATTGTGTCTGAGGCATTGCAGTTAGCTTTTGAGAATGTGCACTGCAGGAGGGTAGAAATATACACCTGATAGTGGAGCAGTGCACAAAGCAGGGGATCCCAGCTCGGGGCCTGGGAATCTGGAATCCAGCAGGTCTCTGCAGCTGTAGGCTAGTTTAAGCCCCGTTTTAACCTTAACTGGGTCAGCGATGAACCGCTTGTAACTTCATGAGACCTAGAAGCCTCACTCCCTTACGGACCCCAAAGACTGGAGTTTGGAAACCTTGGAATGAGCACACTTTCAGACGGACACGCACGCATATTTTAAGTAAAGATGACCATTTTGTGCCTGTCACTGCCTTTCTGTATGTAGCGTTTTGAGCCACGGCCCTTTTCTCCTGCCTTGTTCTCAGCTCAGCGAATACCTGGAAGGAGTGAGTGTGGAGCACAGCTCCGATCTGTCGGTCACAGTCACCACCAAGAAGTCGTGCCACTCCTGGACGTTTACGCTCTGCTGCAAGGTCAGAACGGATACGGCCGTCTTCCGGCCCTTTGCCTTTTGTGAATGCATTTCCCCTAATGCAACATGTGATGCCAGATTAATATCGAGAGAGCTAGAAAAGGAGGTTAGTTCTTGTACCTGTAGGTTTGCTACCAACGTTTCTGCCTTGCTGATAATACGTTCAGTGATGTGAAGTTACACTGATGAAGCGAGATGTTTGTTGCTTTGTTCCAAGTGTCGCTCTCCCTCCGTCGCCGTTGCTCGGTGGAGCATGGGACTGCGCGCGGTGTAAAACATGTTCTCGATGCCCCCCAGCCGGCCAGGACGCTGTACCGGATCGCTCTCCTGTACGACGCCCACCGGCCCCACTTCGGCATCACCGCAGTGTCCACTGGGGACGCCTCCAGCCTGCTGCGGCAGCAGGTCCCGGAGAGCTGCCAGGAGTGGGTGGGAGGCAGCGTGGGCCAGAACGGAATGGACCACTGCGTCTACGAGGTCGTCGTGGGCTTTAGCACGGAGATATTCGGGACGTTTCGGCAGACGATCGTCTTCGACTTTGGCTCGGAGCCCGTGCTGATGCAGAGAGTCATGGTGGATGCCGCTTCCATCGAGGGTACGTTCCAGAATGTGCGACTGTATCCGATCGCTGGAGTTGGGGCGGGCGGTGCCCCTTCGGCTCAGTCCTGTTTGGGGGGGGGGGGGGGGAAGGGAGCTTGGAATTGCAGAGTCCAAGCGGGTGCTGTAGGTTTTCCAGATTTTTTTTTCACGCCGAGGGATGAGGCTGAACAGCTGTGCTCAAGACTCAGGCCATCGCTGCCTCCGCTGTGAGCCCGGCAGCCGTAGGCAGCCGCAGTGGATCGCCTGCCCACAGTGTGGGAGCTGCCGATCCAGGACTGCAGCCTGTAGTCGATGCTTTTTAAAATCACAAGCTGGGGCGCCATCATAACCCGTCGGGCTTTGCGATTGGCGCCCTCTAGGACTGTACGCTGTCCTTTTAATGCAGGTGAAAACACCAGGTAAAGGAGCGATGTCGCTGGGTGGTCAAGCCCTAGACCTTTGCACCTTTGAAACGCCATACCTTGGCGGATCTGTCTGCTGTAGCGACTTTTTAATGCTCTGTAGGTTTACCCCCCTCCCACACCGTTAGTCTGATGGACATTCCCAGGGTCTGCCCCAGACCCCGGTTTCTGAAAATGACCTATTCTCTGACGACAGTGGCCACAGCCAGATGTTAGTCTCCACAATATCGCAGCTCTTGCTATTCTTGCCCTGTACCCAGATGTGCCTCTCTCTGGGGGTGCCCTCTCATTTGTTTGTGGAGGGTTGTGGGGCGGTGTTTCTTGGTCTAGTCTTCCCGTATTCTGGTTGTGGTTTGGTTCCTTGTTAACGAGCACCCCGCCTTCTCTTTTTCATTCCACCACTGGTTTTGACTTGGTCAGCTCTGATGTTGTGCCGATACAGTTGCCATCAGTCACATTTGAGTTTTCTGAATTGGCTAAAATTGAGGTGAGTCCCAGGACCTCATTAATTTGTCAGAATATTTGAGTTTTGGTCCTGCTCGGCCCTGCAGACCTCGAGCACCTGATGCAGGCGAGGCAGCAGCTCCTGCTGTCAGTGAAACGCTGGGACTCCTGCTGCAAGACGATCGTGGAGTTCGAGCCCAACGAGACCATGGAGCTGGAGCGCAGCCTCCTGGCCCGGTACCAGATCCCTCTGTCCGCGGACCAGCTCTTCACCCAGTCCGTGCTGGACAAGACGCTCACCAAGGAGAACTACCAGTCCCGGCTGCACGACCTGCTCTACATCGAGGAGATCGCGCAGTACAAGGAGGTTGGCAAG